GAAATCGTGTTGGATCTCGCGAAGACGATGAAAATGCTCAACTGATAATCCAACACATGAAATATGGTATTTAACTTGGCAAAATGCACACGTGAGGGCATTTGCACGGCATCCCACTAGTTTGGAGCAAGTACCACAGGAACACGAAGTTAATATTGAGCCTGCGAAACGACAGTGGATCCAGCTGGAGTTATTCGCATCTACCGTGATAGCGGATGACTACAGTAAACACATAATAACCGAGCGTTGCAATCTCACCGCCACTATTCTATCATTGTTGTGTGAATTGGTGGATATCAAGAAGTAGCATTATAGAATTGGCAGAGGGCAGAATGTATACTGTTAGGACACTCGCGCTAGGACTGAATGCCTGTTTGATTCCACCTTGAGAAAACAGAAGCAAATGAAACAGCGAAAGGTGTATTGATACAATGAACACAAGACCTGGTGAAATAAAAAAGAAAACGCAGCAACACTAATTGTCTTGCGCATGGATAGACATTTGGTTAAATAGGACCCCGGAGGCACCAGTAGTGTGGAGTTGTGTGAAACAGACGAAAGGAACAGATGTATCACTACACAATGTCCTGATTGTAGGCACATGTTGTTTCGAGCTAAAACATGGTTCCTTGTTGTAAAATAACACAACTACTTTCTGAACAACTCCATGTTCCATATTTGTGTAGTTACAAAAAATCCTAGCAATTCTCCCGGCGGCTGCCAAATTACATTTCATAGACATTTCGTTTCTCTGTGTTCCGTTACGATTCTACACCTTTCTCCCGCAAAAAAGAAGTGAGAATAATTAGAACGTTTATGTGGGTTTACCTGTAAACGTGTAGTCGGCCTCCGGATTCGATCAGTGCAACGTCTTGGTTGCAAATTCGTTTCTCACGAGACTGTTATGCCCTCCTTGCCAGACACGCGCGGAATTCTAGGATGTAAGTCAAAAATGTTCAAGAGAAGATCAAGTCTCTATTGATTTGGATATCTAGTCCAAATAATCTACCATGACTTTGTAGATCACCTTTCCTATTCTGCTCTGAATCGAGCCTGTTGTCCAAAGTGGTTTGCCCGTGCGATAATCTCTGAGCAAGACCTTCTGTCCTGAGGAAAAATGACGCTCCTACGTTCTATTTCGTTGACTGAAATACCACTCCATTTTCACATTCCTTTTCTGTGGGACAGTGCTCCCCGGCAGCAGCAACGAGTTGATAGTTCGAATTTTCCTTCCCATGAGAGCCTCTGCAAAATGACACGTAATTTGGCAACTGAGGGTTTGGGGGTAATCCATACACAAACAAGAAAATATACAACATCTTCTGTGTAGTTCCCCTCTCCCCGCATTTTCACTAGCACCAGTTTGAACGTAGCAAGAAAATGATCCGCCTGTCCATCGGATTTCGGGGTGGAGCGGGAATGTCTAATACAAACCTGCGAACAGTATTCGGCAAATTGGTGGGAAGTAAATTGCGAACCATTATCGGGGACTAAAATCTCCGGGTATGTCATACTGGCTGAGAAGACTTCGTGGTTGTTTGATGGCTGCACCACTAGTTGCATGTTCCATGTGGAAAACCTCAGGCCATGTGCTGTAAGGATGCACAACAAGGAGGAACTGGTGTCCATTCACAGTACCAAAGAAAGCAGCATGTATGCGCTCTCATGGTTTCGTCGCTGAAGGCTAAGAAGATAATTCTGTCTTCCGGGGTGACATACAAGCGCGCACTATGGACATATCTACACCAGATGCTCGAGTTCTAGGTCCATGTTTGGCCAAAAAATAAAACCGCGCAATCAGTTTCCTTTTACCAATATCAGGATGATCTCGATGGAATAGTCGTAGAATTCTCGGGCGAAGTTCCACAGGAATGGTAACTCGTTCGTCCGAAAGCAAACATCCATTAACGACTGATATCTACAGTGCAAGTATGGAGTCGCTGAGCAGCATAGATTTGCAAATGTAGCCAATGAATGATCCGGCCTCAGATGCACTATAAGCTGCATGCTCAGCAAGGTGCAATGAATTGGAGTAGTATACTCATAGGTCACGTACAGTAGTGCGGTTGACAAGTGACCCATTTACTTCGATGCGTTGACCGGTAGATTACGTCGATACGAGCTGAAGTTGCATTTTGCAACAATCTAAAGCCTCAAAATTCCTTTGAACATAAGAGACCAGGGCCTATGCCGTTGACATCATCTGCAAGAAGAAATGGCCTCATGTTTGCGAACCTATCGAACATGTCGTCAGCATACAGAATGAATAGCAGTGGGCCTAGAACACATCCGGGAAAAACGCAGCTAGTTACGGCTCTATCCAGCCGTACCATCTGTGTACGCAGTCAAATAAGATGAGAACCATGACATCAGCTGATGTGATACACCGAAAGACTGAAGCTCAGCCAAGAGACCAGCATGCGGCACTCGGTAGAAAGCCTTCCTCATGTCAAGGATAAGACTATGGCCTGAATCTATTTCTTGGAACGTCTGATGGGATTTAGCCGATGAAAAGTCATGTTGGGACTTGTTAATTAAGCTGCGTGGCAGCATAAATGCAAGAATAGCAGCGTTAGGACGTATTCATGTCTAGTTGGATTCCGTCAACGTCCTGCTTTTACGCCGATGCTGAGCGCATATTACGTGTTGAATACACGGCCGGGGCTGTGACCATGACAAATACAAAAACTGATTCACTTCAGTGCACCCCTATACGCCAGTTGTGAATGGTCAGAGTAGGCAAGTAGTTTAGGACGTGAGTGTTTGATTGCAAATTGTCATTCAAACGGTCCAATCCGAATACCGCCCAAAGATGGTATCGATGGACGCGGCGACCTGTTAATCACGCGGCAGTTAGCTTTCGCGTACCAGGACTGTAGATTCACCATATAGGAGATGTGGAAACGACGAGCTGGATCGAAGCTACTTCTTTCGCGACAAGCCAGGTAGAGGGGGCTAGACTAGCAGTACAGTCCCATTTGCGATTTGAGCTTGGATTCCCACCGCGACAAAGTGCACTACAGAAGCGAACACCCCGTTTCTAGGAATACAGTTGCGTATCAAATACATATGAAATTTAAAGTGCATGACCAAGTCAGAACTAGGTCACCTCATGGAACGAAATGAATTAGTGAATCAACTCTAACCTATAATCAGAAGTGAGAAAAGTGGTGAGAACATGGTTCACCAGAAGCTTGACGGAAAAGAAGATAGCTGGGTGACTGTGCAGATACACTAATAACAGTACGCTCGACAAAAGCTATTCACAAGATCTGACAGTAGTCTCATATCACGAACAAGTGCACAAATACAATGTGGACAGACACACTGTCACTATAGCCCCCACCCCACCCACAGGAGGACGAAGGGTTTCCGGTCAAGCAATTGCGGTATGAAAATAAGTGAGGATAGACAGAGGGGGATGGTCTGATACAAACAATAGAGCGGCAGTGAAAGCCGGCAGGTGATTTACCGGACGGACAGTCTCTATTTGAGTGTGAGTCAGCGTTGGCGGCGCACTTGGTTCCCGTGTTTGCAAATGACCAGGTGTCGGTGCAGGGTTCGACGTATACCGCGCTTACCGAACTCAGCAGTCTGGTTTGCGGTGTTGAAGAGGTGCGTCAACTACTTGTCAACCTTGACGGTACCAAACCTACTGGCCATGACGGTCTCCACCCACTGATATTCAAGCCCCGATCGGCTATCATCTCACCTGCAATAACTGAAGGTTCATTGTGCCGAACGACTGGAAATTCTTAGTGGTAAAGCCGATTCGGAGAAGCGGTGGACCCATCAAAGTGGACAACTATAAGCTAATTACTCTGAGATCTACTTCGGCCAAGGTTGCCGAGATCTTCTACTACAGCTGTTCCAATCAAAAGACATACCGACACCCGCACCTCATGGTTTTATGCAAGTCCGCTCATGCATTACCAACCTGCTGGCGACGAGGTAAGCATACTTGCAGGCAATGAACCAGTGGAGGTTTGTCGATGTCGATTGCAGTAAGGCGTTCGACAAATTAAAACAATGGAGTCCTCCTCCACAAGCAATATGCGGTGTTGATGGATCATTGTACCAATGCATCCAGGACATTCTCGTTGGGAGAAAAAAATGAAGGGTACAGGTTGAACCATCTAACTGACTGGTGGGTAACCCTCTACAAATGGTGTACCCCAAGGTTTGCTGCTGGGGCTCAGTCCACATCAGCGACCAACCTACCCTTCTTCGATTTCCGTGTGCCCTGTTTGCGGATGATTTAGAGTTGAAGAGAAATTAGCACCCGAAGCGAAGTTAGCCTACTTCAGCAAGACCCCAACCGCCTCTCCATGTGGTTTGTGAAATTCCGCCTCCCGGTCAACCCAAGCGAGTCGGTATTCAACTTAGAAAAGGGCGGTGAAGGCGGAACTTACACCATTGACGGCAAACCGCTACATCTCACGCCTTTCGTGAAGTCCATTGACAACACGAACAAACTATTTCGTAACGGACTGCGCATGCCTTGGGCGTTCAAACGCGGCTTCTATACTTGGTCTGACGAGGTCGGCACTCGTCTCATCACTTCCGCTATAAGAACAATACAGGAGTACGGTTTGCTCACCTACTGTCCAATAACACGAGGTGAAGCACAGGAGATGGAACGGGTCAAACTCGCCGATATCAAGCTCATTCCGAGTTCACGAGGAGTACCGTAGGAAGACCGGTGCGAGAAACTAGGACCCCACACCTTGTCTTATCATCGCGTGGGAGTCGATCTCAGCATGATTTACCGCGTTTTATATCTCGATGATGAGGCCGCTGCTCCATTTGGGAGCATGCAACACACGCGGACACCTGTAAGCCTGCGGTGCCGGATACGAAGCGAGTTCCCCATCCTCTGTGCTCCGAACGAAGTGGTAAATGTTTGGAACACTCTGCCAGGACATGTGGAGGTCAAATCTGTGTAGCCGTTCAAAGTGTTGTTAGATTTACATTTTATTACCATTCGATTCGGAAAAAGAATGCACACTGTCAAGTACGACTGACATTTGTGAGCCCAATGATACTGTAAGTCAGACAATTTAAAGTGCTATACAATAACTTGAGGAATGCTCAGATCATCACGGGTGGCAGATACATTTTGTGACATTTCTGATTATACTCCGTTAACTGTAGTGAGTATAATTTCTATTCGCTCTCACACTACTGTATTCGACACGTATCAACAGCAGCTTTTGTCGAGGCCGAGTAAGAAAGGAATGGAAACCATTTGCAGCGAATATGAAACCAATGTTGAGGGAAAGGCCATCGTAAGAGTGGCAGTGCAATTGGACGCCCACGAATGGCCATTAGGCAAGGAACATCTAACCACAGCAAGGGGACACGAGGATAGCATTCAAGACAAGAAGAGAGTGGTACCCCCAATCGGTTGAAATGACAAAAGACGATCAACTCAGATAGTACATGAAGATAAAATACCGATAGACTGAAAAACATATATTTCGAACTCAACCCACTGATGGGTATTTGAAGCGAAGAAATAACTATGATTGAAGGTTGTCCGGGTCAAAAAGAGCTCATCAGTGGTTAACCCCGTGCAAGCGGCAAGGCGAATTGTACCGAAAATCTTTGAGCCCATCGCAATGGCCTAAAAGAAGAAAATAGTAGTAATAACAGTGGAGGGTGTTGATGGAGACTACAAACGGAGGTACACATTTCGCTGATTTAAAACGATCTAGTAGCCACAGCAACAATGTTAACGGAAAGTAAGGACGGGAAAGTAGTTGTCCACGTATTACTGAATGAGTAAACGGATAACAAAATACAACACTTCACAGAATACTGACCTGTTTGGTCCGTGTGACAAAGACAACCTCCAGCCCAGGTGAATTCGGGTCCGATACAAAGGAAAGAAAGTCCGAATTCGGCTGTACAAACGCCGTTTGTTGATTGATGGAAATAACCTTCGTCAGATCAGCCAGCTAAAATAAAAAGTAACGGCATTACAACGAAACAAACCAGGACACGAACATTAAACTCGGTAGGGGAAAGCATGGCTACTGGGAAACACAATTGGCCTCTTTGAACATGAATATTTCCGATTGGAAATAGATCCCTCAGAATAGTAAAACTCCGGGAGCGAGTCTACCAAGAGAGCAACATCCGGACCCAACGGAGCAGTCAAGTGGATAGCGTCTGCAGTGCACGGATACTTGGCGCTGTTGAATCGCTGTCACGACGGAACAAAACTCCATAGATATGGGAATAAAAAGTGAACGGGGCCTAAGTGCATGTGATGCAGACACTAAGGATCAAAGTCCCAGTGCTTTGCCAATACCACAAGAAGTTGATCGACACGTGGAAATATGGTGGCCTCAGTGGGACAGCTTTGCTGAAGTTCTCACAAATAGCAACACCATACGGACAGCTAGGAAGATAGCCCAACTATGGAACGACAGTAAACGCTCCGCGGTATTAATCTTCCATGCTAGTCATGTGGACCCAGGGTCAAAAAGAGAGGAGTGAATTGGTCCCAGTTAGGACACCGCCCACATTTAGTACTGTCACGTCAATTATCACAACTCTAGATCTTTGGATCGAACAAAATTATTTATAACAAGCGGGGGTTGAGTGTATGCCAAACCAACGCAATAGCCAACCTAGCAACCCAAGTTGGTCAACGACGTGAAGCACTCAGCTGCTTATCCTATTGGTACTGTTACGTTGATGTGCCACTCGACACGAACAACGCGCCATGGACAAGGGCACTAGAGGCACTTGAAACGGAAAGAGCGGCCCCCACAGTTATAATGCTGTCATATTTGTCAATATCGTATGGGATAGATTCCATTCCGCCGATCGCCGGTCAGTCGTTGCCAATATGGACGAAGTGACTACGAATCGCACTCCGGCTATGGATTCTGTGTCCTCAACCGCATCTATGCAGATTCGAATCAGTGACCTTTGGGTTACAAGTAGCTAGTGGTCCTGTGGAGGTATAATGCATCTTGGAAGGACAGGTCAAAGGATGGGACGACCCTGGAAAGTCTGTCAAAAGTCAAGCATGATGCCTGGTGAGCGTCTAACGGCAAAATGACGCCGCCGATGCAATCCGGAATAACCAATTGGGCTAGGGCCCGGTTTAAAATACCTACGGGAGCACACTACAACTTGGAGAGTGAGGTACAGCTGAATATAGATGGGTAGACCTGAAAATAATTAATCACCAGGAGAGCGTTCAATAAGTAGCCATGGTAATAATCCCCGATAATTCGACAAAAACGGGCAGTCAACCGAATAGAATATTTGTGTGTGGTAGTGGAACAAGTGAGGAAGGCCAACTGAGCCGTTTCTCAAAACACCCTGCTAAACCAAGCAGACTGAATCAAGACGTCCAGCTGAATGGAGGCACACTTGAATCAAGGTGCCCGATTGGACGGCTTAGATAGGAGAGAGTCAGTTTCATTAATAGGAATCAGCGCAGCGGAGTGGAATGGATGCAGATGCTTGGACACATGTTCCTAAAATAATAACAATGAAAGATGAACAGTAATTGGCATATGGAATAGGTAAGTCCTAAGTAAGCTACAGCATTAATGACTTCGAAATCGCGCCAAAGCATAGATCATGAGCCAGAAGAGAGCAACACAGATGTGACTCAGCCATATGATTGTAATTGACTAGTCTCTAGGGTTCTCACACAATGGCGCAATATTGACAAACAACACGTCCCGAGTTTGCGGACATGTAAAGCGCACAGCGGAGCAAACGAAAGTAATTCAAATTCAATGAGGCATCGGTCTGGCGAAAAACCGGCACGCGCAATTGGAGCCCCACCCACGGTGGCTGATTTGAATTTGAAATCAAACATCCATAGGGCGTTGCATGTGTTGTACAACAGATGGGAGCCGTGGCAAAGACACATGGTGCTGAATCGCCCTGTGCATTCCATCGATGAAGGCCGGGAAGGCAATCCTAGTAAGCAGCAATAACCTAAAGATGAGATCAAGCGAGTAGCTGGTGGTGCCCACAGAACACCCACTTGCAACGCCTATGTGCGATGACATTGTTCTTCCAATGAAATACGTCGAAACAGGTGCAGCCACCACGTACAGGCTAAGTTGAAGTAGAGAGAGCACTGCAGTGAGACACATGTCGAACACGAAATGCGCTTCCGATGTGACAGGTAAAGTGATTTAGGCTATGGCATCACCGAGAGATGCGGCGAATGCATCAAGTAGAGAAAAAAATAGGGGGCAATTCTTTTCGACTAGCCGAATGTTCCAATTTCACTTGGCAGCTTCACCAGAAAACCCGACGTATATATGCTAACGGATTGGCGTCAACGCGATAATATCAAAGCGTATGCAGATAAAGCAACCCGAAAAAGCGTATTACCCTATTACGGTTGATATGTGGATGATATATTCTGTATAACGGACAGTCAGTGCTGCACAGAGCAAAGTGTATCCCTTTTTAAATAAGCACACGACAACGCTAAATGTAGCCCGGAATCTGAACGTCATGGTACGATGTCTTTCCAAGATGTCCAAATTAGCAGAAGATCAGATGGGTCGATCCAATGCAGGGTGCACAGAAAAATCACGTGGAATGGACAATAGATACATCTTGCTGCTTTGTCCCACTAAGCCAGAAGCGGAATTTGATTAGATGTTCAACCGAAAGGGCAAGAAGGATATGTAGTGAGGACACGCTTCTGGAAGAGCCGAATTTCTTAGCTGGCATTTTAGTGAGAAACGGCTATCCCGAAGTTTGTTCGGAGAAATATGGAGTGCCGAAAATCGAGGGCTAAAACCGATTCGGTTAAAAAGAAATCGGTTTATCTGTCGTTGTCGTTCAAAGGGGATGGAATAGCGCAGACGTCTAAAAAGCTATCCGACGTCATAAACCGTAGGTACTATGCGGCAAGCTTATGGCTAAGATTTAGTTCAACACCAATCGTAAGGACAGACTTCCTCGGTCAAGTACTTCTTTCTGTGTATACTCCTTTACTTGTTCATGTCGAGCAAGTTATATCGGATGAACAAGCAGGAGACTGTCTGAGAGAAACCGTGAGCATTGCCCGACTTGGCTGTGTGCAGGTGGAACAAAAACAGTGACGAGCACCGTGTTAGCACATCTAGTTGATTTTAACCACCAGATCGACACGTACCAATGTTTTCAGCCAATTTACCGCATACCTGGATGCTACATACGAGCGGTAAGATGCCGCCTATTAGCAACAGCCGAAGCAATCGCCATCCGTTTCCAGAAGCCAGACCTATGTGCAAAAATAAACAATTCGTCCCGTTCTCTCTCGTCCCAGGCCCCATATTACAGTAACCTCTGCTGAGAAACATGCAACTGACCGTCTGTGAACCAAGCACTTGACCTTGTCATTTAGATGACCTAGACCTTTTAACGTTACCCTTTGAACTTAACTCCCGTCTTATGCTTTAACTCATTTTATTCGTATCAGTTGTGGTGTACCAGCCTGACGAGATCCACCGAAAACGAGCTTGTTCGCTGACTCTTGTTCTGCTGTCTACACCCGGGGTATTTGCTCACTGTAATTTTTGACAAAATATAAGGTCGTGTTCAAAAGCAAGTGTAGAGGCTCAAGTGAGCTGAGTTCAGCGTCGTTCCCAGGAGTAAGTGAATTGCAACTGTGTTCGGAAATAGAAAAAGCGGCAATCTAACTCTATTGACCGTTAGCAATTGCCTATTCCCGGGGGGAATCTCAGAAACATTAATTACAGAAACATTTCACAATAAAGAATTTTAGTGTCCAAAAAGAAAGCAAGAGAGGACCTCACGTATCCATAACAGTCAAGAATGCAAGGATCTTGGAAAGTGAGCAATAATCGATGAAATATACTCAGCTGGTTGACAGAAGTTCATCATCATCATACACGTTAGCTAGAGGTGGGAAACACCTCAGCTACTGTGCCGTTGCCATTTGTTATAATCACAATAGAGGCGATTCCGATCCCACAAAACTTTTAGCCCAACCGAAAGAAAAAGCAGAACGCCAATGATCAGGACAGAATAACGTATTAATCACCGTGAACAAACGCTGTACAACTACCGTGGACCTTGGCTCTATTTATAGCACTCTTGGACACACTTGCTGATACGGCTAGGAGCAGACCTCAGTGGCGTTCGTGCTCTGAGTTTCTTTGTCCCGCCCCATCCCTCTTAGCCTCCCCCTCTAACCACGATCTCATTATTTAGCCTTATATAATTTTGCATAGTATTTTTTTGGTGCACAGCAGCCGGCTGGTAGCTTACCGGAACGATGCTCATCCGTTACCGGTAGCTCAGCCAGTTTGCACCAGTTGCTTTCTTTCCTCTCCTTTTTATGCTATGTATTGCGGCACAGTAGCTGAGGTGTTACCCACCTCCAGCTAACGTGTATGATGATGATGAGGATAGCACTCTTACAGACCTAAGACTTCTAAAATTGGAAGGTCAGCTACCAAGGTTAGTAGTTCCCCATGTCTTTTGCCCAGGTGTCAGGTGATTTTTCGTCACATGCAGAAACCAGAACATTCCGGAACGTTCGAAGTCGATGCGATAATCGTTAATAATCATATAGACGCTAAAATAGTGGATTTCCTAGGCAATTCTTACTTTCTCCTGGACACCTCCCCTCATGAGATATCGCCCGAGGTATACGACGAAAGCTTAGGATTAACTTGCAGTCTTCGGGACGGTGTTCTCTGCCTGTCGGTACATCTCCTTGGCAGAAGTGCCTGAGAGCTGCGTTCCGATGTCCGTGTTCTGGATGCTTTGCTTGACTGTGTGCAGTCGTCCACTGCTGCCTTCGGCGAGCTGAAGCTTTTCACCAATATATTGAACGGGAGGTCGGTAGGCCTTGCTTGTTCTGGTTGGCACAAGGTGGGTCGTAACTGGTTTGCATGCCGTGGCCAGATCTGTGCGCCCACCATCACGTCATACATGATGTTTCCGCGCTTGCTTTTGACCGTCCCTGGCGTCCATTTCGCATGGCCTTCCCGATAGTCATGTACTAGCACCTTCTGTCCAAGCGTAAACGATCGCTTCTTTGCTCCATGCCGCCGGTTAAAATCCTGTTCCATTCTGCGGTTTCTTTCACCAACAGAGGATTCCGAGCGCAGTCGGATGGTGTGGAAAGGCATGCGCAGCTTCCTGTTCATGATAGCCTGTGTTGGAGAAACTCCGTCTGGCGCTTGTGGATTCGATGTTGATCGGTAGAGTAAAACGAACCGGTCAATCACTTCCTCCAAACGTCCCTCTTGTTTGATTTGTGGTGAGCTCCCTTGAACGTATGGACAAACCTTTCCGCCTGGCCATTCGACTGTGGGTGAAACGGCGGCGAGCGAATGTGCTGGACGGCGCATTGCTTGCACGAGTTGTGTAAACGATTGACGAGAATAGGTGAAATGTAAAGTTAACTTAAACATACCTTGCCATTTTTTGTTGTAGCCTTATCGATGAAGTATCCAAGAAGAACATACTTGGATTTTGGATATTTCGCTTTTCGCACTAAACATGGAGATGCCAGCACAGTGGTTGTATGAAGTGGCACTCATCAAGACACAAGGCAGCAACATCGTACAAAAACAGTCAACTGCGTGTTGTCATGACTCATGTCCTCAGAATGGAGAAGCCAATGGTACCAGAAGCCACACCTCGCAATGTGATAAGAAATGTGTCAGCATTACATAATGAAGTAATGACTGATGCGAGAACTCTGTCACAGAAAAAGTAGTTATTTACTCTGTCCAGCAACAATACATTTTGGTATCCCTGAGAATTAACGCGAATCAATACTTGATGATTAAGTTGTGGATGATCCAGAGATAATTCTCATATTAGTTGATAAAGAATAGTTACTTACATTGACCAAAGACAATCTACGGAGACGGTACTTTCGACAAAGTTTCAAACACATTTTATCAACTGTATACAGGGCATGCTGATGTGGGCAAGACTTGTCTGTCTTGAGAGTTACCCCCACCTCCCAACACAGATTGCGTGTCACAATCCAAGCACACGGCGGGTAGTTCAACTCCAACTTTGACTTGTTTGCCTTGTATGTACATTTCGTTACAGAAAGAATACTGAGAATTATATTAGAACGTTTGAAATAACGAAGCCGTTGGCATCGGATTTAATGTCTAGAAAGATTCGAAATCTCGAGGACTCCATGAAATAAGTGAGAACTGTTTTTCCAAACCCTAAAATCAAAGGATGTTATTTGCTGTGCTAAGTAGTTGTAAAGAATGGTAAACTTGCAATCATGAATATTGTTCGTACAGACAGGGTACAAATTACGATTGTCATTTGCGAAGATTAGCAAGCAGTACGGATTCAACCAAATCCTGTACGCTTATTGTTTTAGTGAGATTTAGATAGGTCATTGCAGCCTATCTCTATGTGAATGCTTTATTAAAAGTGAGGTACCTGACATATGAATGTGAAAGCAGGCGTAATTCCACGTGAGCATCTTGTATAGCATAAGATCTAGAAATAGATTAATGTAGCAACACGCTCTTATTGTGCGTATATAACACGACACCGGTGAACCGTGCTAGCTATGGAAGCGGCGGAGCGGTTTGCGAGTAAGGGACCCGACTGTGGGTGATTTTTTTGGCTCAGTTAAACAAGTTTAACATGCAGTCGACACTCGGTACAATGGGAACAGTAGATTTGATTAACATCTCACACATCGTACTCAAGCAAACTGGGGAAGTTCCAGACTGTTAAAAATGTTCCGTTAGAGCGTTTTTCTGCGCGAGTATTCTTAGTGTGGACAAGAAGATCTGGGGGTTTTATGCTACGCATAAGTTGCGTGTGAGCTTACAGTATAGAACCAAACTATATATATGAAGATTAGTATTGATATGCCGTGCACTCAGTCTTGAGTGGGAGTAAATTTCCAAGCCTTGCTTCTCTCGTGCCTTCTGAGTGATAATCGGAGAACAGTGAGTACCATCCACGTGTGTGCCCACCAAGGTGTTTGTTGTCGTTCGATTGCGCGCCAGTGTGCCCCGTTGTAATGATAGGTAACAATTTTAGCATCACGTGAACCGGAAATCAGCTGTTCCATTGAAACCCATCACAATGAGACTGGATCTCACCGCGGTGCAATGGTTTGTGAGCTATGCTGGGTGGTGCCTCTTGCACTTTAAGAGCAATTCACCTCAGACTGAACAGAATCGAGATGAACTGTCTCTTGGTCCTCTAGATTGATTAGAGTGGTGACTCACTATTCGTCAAAAAAGGACTCACTGTAACCCACCGCTAAAATCCCGATGCTTTGCAGTCAGGATTTGGAAACAAAAGCTTTGGACGAGAGCCCTAATCATTCACCTAACAAGGACTAGGCAAATTGACAATATCGCACCTATGTAATACAATGACCTCAAAAACTTTCTTGATGTCTAGCCATCTCCCTATCAACTGTATCGAGCGGGATAAAAAAGAGTAAGGATGCTACTGCTCAGGCTTTTCCGTCTTCTTATTCCCTCTTTTTAGGTTCTTAATCCTTATTGTCTAGTAGCAACTTCAGTTTCATCCCCCTGTTTTAAACGCCACATTATTGGCCCTCATCCACATTGGATTGATTTTCGCTTGTCACCTAGTTTCAACTCAGACAATGAAACAGCACGACTTCTCCTCTGTCGACAAGTCCATGACCAACATCAGTTCGCCCGCTTATGTAGCGTCCTCGATCCAAGCTAATACTGGCATACCTCAATGTGTGCACCACCTTATTGGTAAATCAGTCAATAGGGAGCACTTGCACAAACACTAGACATTCTATCAATAGGCATAAGCTGATTGTCACACACACACACACACACCCTATACACGTTAGCTAGAGGTGGGAAACACCTCAGCTACTGTGCCGCAATACTCAAAGAAAAAAGGGAATAAAATGCAACAGGAGCAAACCAGCTGAGCGACCGGTAACGGATGGGTATCGTTCCGGTAAGCTACCTGCCGGCTACTGTGCAGCAGAAAATTATAAAATGTTAAATAATGAGATCGTGGTTGGAGGGGGAGGTTAAGAGAGATGGAGTGGAACAAAGAAACTCACAGCACGAAGGCCAGAGGTCGGCTCCTAGCCATATTAACAAGTGTATCCTTCACAACCATCGCAACGCGGCTGGACCTTACCGTGGTGCGATATCACAAGCTATGAGACAAAGCTACCCGCTGCAACCTTCATATTAACCTTGTGATTGATGAAATGATAGAAACAGCATCCATTGGACACGACTTGGAAGGTGTCCCAGGTGAGCGAGTTCTTTACTTGCAGCATGCATATAATGCCTTATTCACAAAGGTGCCAAACAGCTCTGGTTGTGAGTCGCTACGGGTATTGTTAACGCCCTCCAAATACAAAGTGCTACGCCAAGATTGGCAGGGAACGCTCCCTACAGTGACCATTGGTGGGGAGAAACTAGAAGCCGTAAAGAAATCCAACTAGCTAGGCAGCTGTATCAGCGCCTGTGAAATAGAAGAGAAGATCACGAAGCGTATAGCAACAGCTGGAGGCGCTTGTGCTAGCCTTCGCCATGCATGGCGTCGGCGCGAAATCTCTCTTGCTCTGAAGAGTAGTCTGTTGTGGTGCTGCTGATTGTACGGCTAACCTGCTGCTACCGTGCAGCTGACCGTTGCCAGAAATGTGTTGTGGTTTCCGCTGACTTCATGGAGAACCTGCCTGAATCTGTTGTGCCGCCCCCAACCAGTTCAACTCGCCACGAAAGGAGAACACACAGACCAGCCGGTCCGAGGGATCCGGATTCTGATTTCGATTGTATGAGAGCATGGCGCATTAAACAGGTGGTAGGAAACCAGTAACACAACAAAATTGGAGATGCTAATTAATATTAATAAACACAACTCAAACGGTTCAAGTTCATGGCCCAACTTGCCGTTGACTCCTCATAGATTCGCATTTTGATCTTTACTAGCGTTCGATCTCTAATTGTAGATCGATCCACTACTGCTCTCGGCCTGAACATAGACTCTCCGTAACACCTTCCTCGCGCAAAACGACAAGCGACCTACGTCATGCGTCCAGGCGCATTCTGATGACGTGTCTCCACACCTGATCAGTGCATCATCGTGGCTGCAAGTCCGTTCCCTTTTGTGGCCAATGGTCAAAGCACATTAGGTCCCTTCTGGGTCCCAAAGTGAGTGGTTCACCGGGTGGAGAACAGTTCTTAAGCGATAAAGCTCCTGGTCAACCATTGGTGTTGCAAGGCCTTTCCGAAAAACTGCTGTATACCTCTCTCGCATAGTCTACAATGAAGCCGTGTGTTCAACCATCCTGTGCGTTTGCGGGACCTGGATCACCAAGTCGACGTAAAGAGGCCTGTTACGTTCGACCATCGATGCCTTCACATTTTGGCTCACATCTGATAGGAACACCGCATGTAAGAGCGTGTTCGGCGCCTTGTTAATGGCACAGGAAGAGTGAGAGAACCGCTCAGCACGGTCATTTCACGCACCAGGCTTCGATGGCTGGGTCAACTGCTGCGTATGCAAGCGCACTGGCTCCAGCAACGTGTGGTGTTTGCGCGCCCTGGATGTGGATGGAAGAGGAAGGGAGGCCAAACGACAATTTGGTCAAAGGGGAATGAAGACCTTCAATTCGAACTCGTCATCGATTGATGCCTCCCACCTGCCGGGCTGCGGTCCCAAGAAGGATGAACAACTTTGGTTGGATACACTAATTGGTTTGGCGAAGAACGAATGAAAGAGGGCGCCCACGTTGTGAGTTACATTGTCCCACCGCATTTCGCTTAGTCTCCCCCTCGAACCCCGATCTCGTTGTTAGTGCACAAAATAAAAAGCATAAGAATCTATTTTTGTTAGTTGTTCCTTTTTACTGTTACCTGATCGATTTATATTGGGGCACAATGGCTGGGATGCCACTAACCCCTAGCTAACGTGTAGAATGATGCTCCACTCAAGCGAATCCGCGTCTGTCAAAAATTCGATGACTAGATTTAAGTCCAGCAGGAGCAGTTGTAATTGCAAGAGCGCCGCTGAGTCCACGAAAAGGTTATTAGTAAAATCACACTCGCTAAGGTGGATGATCTTGGCGCTTCCAACAACGAAGATGACGAGTATAAACCTGTCTTGCGATCACTTTCCTCGTGTTTTAATTCCATCATCGGCTTGCCACGGCAAGTTCAATCCTGCAGAGTGCGCTATAACCAAACCATAGAATATGGTACGCGAAAGCCCTTAGCTTGCTGACAATGACTTTATCGGACCGTCCGTTGCCGAATGCAAAGTATTGAAAATTAGTATTACATGCTCGGTACTCTCACTCTGGAGGAGCGAGTAGTCAAAGATGAGTTGAGCACGCAGGTACCGCAACTTTTATTCGTACAGTAATTCTGCCAACACTGCAGTGGTGTGCACTGCGCCCCTGACCAAAGAGTTCAAAATCCCCTATCGTCATGGAAGAAGGAAACTTCGAAAAGCTACGCGAGTCATACAAATGTGTGTAGTGATTTACTGTGCCGTAGACCGACAATAGGTGTTCCTCAACTTCAGAAGTGCGCTCGACCCAGTCGTCCATCTATTCTGTGCGAAATACTTGCACAGAAAGGTGTTCCCAGAAATATGTGAACACTTTACAGGCCCTGTATTCGAACATCATAAACCGCGTCCGTTTACCGTGACTTGTCGGATGTATCTCTGACTCCATCATGGAGTGATCCCGTGCGGAATCACACGATGTAATACTTGAGGTGATGT